CCGCCATCCCAACTCTTACTTTTACTTGCTTAGAGTATCTCATGATGTGTCCCTGATCTCATTTTTTTGCGGTGCAAAAGCAATCTTTCTCGGAGGTTGTTTTTGTTTTTCATTCTTTTCTTGTTATTTTCTCCTGTTTCCACACTGTCTTCACCTCTTTTTATAGTCTCTAAAAAAATCTCCTTAAAACCTTTTTTTTGTAGAAACAGTMTTTTCTATTTTTGCAAAGAAAAAGGGAAAAACGGCTTAGATGGACTGTTTTAGCGGCCTTGAAAAAAATGAAACTGCAACTACATCATKCGTTGTTGCAGTAAATTTCGCCATCACTGAACATTGCCTTTTGTTCTTAATTTCAGACCCTTGGTTTGGACCGAGACACGAGCCACTGAYAGCAGTAGTCGTACCTTTACTTTCCATTTCACATTCGAAGATGGGACAACAATGGAATATTCGCCCCGAATGGGACCCCCTCCTCGTCCAACTAACGGCAAAGCAGCACCTCCCAAGGGTTTGTTTGTCCGAGACCTGGAATTGTTTTTGAAGAAAATACGCGGTGAAGTTGCTGCAGATGAGATTGAAAAGGAGAAAAAACGCACGTTACACTGTGCCGAGATTGCAGGGAAAATCCAGGAACTTGCAATGCAAAAGATATAAGCGTAAAAAAGATAATCAATAATATGGAAAAATAGAAATAATAGCAAAAATAAAATTAAACCGCGCAGTTTTGAATGAAATAAATTTTATTGCAAGTTTATCTCATGTAATAGTGATTTTTATTTWCTTTTGCAAAAACGTAACCTAAAGCATGTTTCATACTCTATACAGTATACCATCATCTACAACATGACCAAGCACTACAATTTAATTATAAAAAACTACTATAGAATTCTATTCTACCTGCCTGGTCAGAGCATGCTTGAGTGAGCAGTGAGATTTAGTTGGATGTTGGTTCAGTCTTGATTCAAGTTTGATGCCGCTCCGCTCATTGACTGGCCAACTTACAAATGAGCACGCAMAAGGTGACGCAAAACATCGATTTTTGTAGACGTTACAACATACAACAATGTTGTTAAAAAACAAACAATACACTAAAACAACAACAACAACAAAACGAGACGTCCACATTTATGTCTTCTGAAACGAATTCCAGTAAATCCCAAATGCAAATGCAAATGCAAATGCAAATTTGAAAATCACGCAATAATGTTTTGGTTCCAGTTTGAACAAAAGATTTCTGATGT